ACACACATTCCAGCACTTTGAGCCCTGCCCAAGCAACTCCTGGTAGGATCTGCTCAGCTTGGCAGCTCGTATTTCTGTGGTGAGGCTGGGGGAGAAAGAGGCTGCAAAAGCCCTCTTGCTTCGGAAGGATGTGTGTCAGGGACTTTCTCCCTAAGAATTCTAAGTTCCTGGATCTGTGTCACCCATGGCCACCCCTGGCCATGATGAGAGAGAAAATGGTGCGACCCGGAGACCACACAGAGAGGTGGGGAGCTAGGCCCAGAGCTTCCTGCAGGAATCCAGGGAAGCCTCTCACATCTAGGCAGGAGCCCAGGGAGCCTGGGACCTGCCCTCCTGCCCCGAGGCTCCCTCTGGCCCAGGCCTCTCTTGCTGTCTCTGATCCTCCAGCCAGTCAGGGGTGAGTATTTTCGTTTCCTCAGCCACCTAAACTCCTGGAGGATTCTTCTGGAGCTGTGACAAGTGGAGCGTATAAAGGCAGAGACCTTGAGGTCAGGTTCAGTTCAGTTCAGTTCAGTTGCTCAGCCGTGTCCGACTCTTTGCCACCCCATGGACCACAGCACGCCCGGCCTCCCTGTCCATCACCAACTCCCGGATTTTACTCAAACTCACATCCATTGAGTCAGTGATGCCATCCAACCATCTCATCCTCTGTCATCCCTTTCCCATCCTGCCTTCAAATTTTCTCAGCATCAGGGTCTTTTCAGATGAGTCAGTTCTTTGCATCAGGTGGCCAAAGTATTGGAGTTTCAGCTTCAGCATCAGTCCTTCCAATGAATTCAGGAGTGATTTCCTTTAGGATGGACTGGTTGGATCTCCTTGCTGTCCAAGAGACTCTCAAGAGTCTTCTCCAACACCACAGTTCAAAACCATCAATTCTTTGGTGCTCAGCTTTCTTTTTAGTCCAACTCGCACATCCTTACATGACTACTGGAAAAACCATAGGTTTGACTAGACAGACCTTTGTTGGCAAAGTAATGTCTGCTTTTTATAAGCTGTCTAGGTTGGTCATAACTTTTCTTCCAAGGAGCAAGTGTCTTTTAATTTCATGGCTGCAGTTACCATCTGCAGTGATTTTGGAGCCCCAAAAATAAAGTCTGTCACTGTTTGCACTGTTTCCCCATCTATTTGCCATGAAATTATGGGACCAGATGCCATGATCTTAGTTTTCTGAATGCTGAGTTTCAAGCCAACTTTTTCACTCTCCTCTTTCACTTTCATCAAGAAGCTCTTTAGTTCTTCTTCGCTTCCTGCCATAAGCGTGGTGTCATCTGCATATCTGAGGTTATTGATATTTCTCCTGGCAATCTTGATTCCACCTTGTGCTCCATCCAGTCCAGTGTTTCTCATGATGGACACTGCATATAAGTTAAATAAGCAGAGTGACAGTACTCCTTTCCTGATTTGGAACCAGTCTGTTGTTTCATGTCAAGTTCTAACTGTTGGCTTCTTGACATGCATACAGATTTCTCAGGAGGCAGGTCAGGTGGTCTGATATTCCCAGCTCTTGAAGAATTTTCCTCAGTTTGCTGTGGTCCACACAGTCAAAGGCTTTGGCATAGTCAGTAAAGCAGAAGTAGATATTTTTCTGGAGCTCTCATGCTTTTTCGATGATCCAACGAATGTTGGCAATTTGATCTCTGTTTCTTCTGCCTTTTCTAAATCCAGCTTGAACACCTGGAAGTTCTCGGTTCACATACTATTGAAACCTAGCTTGGAGAATTTTGAGCATTACTTTGCTAGCATGTGAGATAAGTGCAATTGTGTGGTAGTTTGAACATTCTTTGGCATTGCCCTTCTTTGGGATTGGAATGAAAACTGACCTTTTCCAGTCCTGTGTCCACTGCTGAGTTTTCCAAATTTGCTGGCATATTGAGTGCAGCACTTTCACAGCATCATCTTTCAGCATTTGAAATAGCTCAACTGGAATTCCATCACCTCCACTAGCTTTGTTCGTAATGATGCTTAGGCCCGTCCACTTGATTTCACATTCCAGGATGTCTGGCTCTAGGTGAGTGATCACACCATTGTGATTATCTGGGTCATGAAGATCTTTTTTGTATAGTTCCTCTGTGTATTCTTGCCATCTCTTCTTAGTATCTTCTGCTTCTGTTAGGTCCATACCATTTCTGTCCTTTATTGTGCCCATCTTTGCATGAAATATTCCCTTGGTATCTCTGATTTTCTTGAAGAGATCTCTAGTCTTTCCCATTCTGTTGTTGTCCTCTATTTCTTTGAACTGGTCACTGAGGAAGGCTTTCTTATCTCTCCTTGTTATTCTTAGGAACTCTGCATTCAAATGGGTATATCTTTCCTTTTCTCCTTTGCCTTTCGCTTCTCTTCTTTTCACAGCTGTTTTTAAGGCCTCCTTAGACCACCATTTTGCCTTTTTGTATTTCTTTTTCTTGGGGATGGTCTTGATCCCTGCCTCCTGTACAGTGTCATGAACTTTCATCCATAGTTCTTCAGGCTCTCTGTCTATCCAATCTAATCCCTCGAATCTACTTCTCACTTCCACTGTATAGTCATAAGGAATTTGATTTAGGTCATACCTGAATGGTCTAGTGGTTTTCCATACTTTCTTCAGTTTCAGTCTGAATTTGGCAATAAGGAGTTCATGTTCTGAGACACAGTCAGCTCCCAGTCTTGTTTTTGCTGACTGTATAGAGCTTCTCCATCTTTGGCTGCAAAGAATATAATCAATCTGATTTTCATATTGACCGTCTGGTGATGTCCATGTGTAGAGCCTTCTCTTGTGTTGTTGGAAGAGGATGTTTGCTATGACCAGTGCATTCTCTTGGCAAAACTCTATTAGCCTTTGCCCTGCTTCATTCTGTACTTGATGGCCAAATTTACCTGTTACTTCAGGTATTTCTTGACTTCCTACTTTTGCATTCCAGTCCCCTATAATGGAAAAGACATCTTTTTTGGGTGTTAGTTCTAGAAGGTCTTGTAGGTCTTCATAGAACTGTTCAACTTCAGCTTCTTCAGCATTATTGGTCGGGACATAGACTTGGATTACTGTGATATTGAATGGTTTGCCTTGAAAACGAACAGAGATCATTCTGTCGTTTTTGAGACTGCATCCAAGTACTGCATTTCGGACTCTTTTGTGGATTCTGATGGCTACTCCATTTCTTCTAGTTCAGGTAGACCGGGTTCAAATCCTGGCTCTGTCCCTAACTGAATTTTTGGTGTTACAGGTCACTTACCTTCCTTGAGCCATCTATGAGATAGAGCTCTTTTCTTTTTAATTCATTAATTTAAAACTTTTATTTGTTTATTATTGTAGGATAGTTGATGTACAATATTATATAAGTTGCTTGTGTACCTTGTAGTGATTCACAATTTTTAAAGGTTAAACTCCATTTATAGTTACTATAAAATATTGGCAGTCTTCCCAGTGTTGTGTAATATACCCTTGTAGCTTATTTTATACCTAATAGTCTGTACCTCTTAATCCCCCACCCCTATGTTGCCTCTCCCCTATGAAATGCAGTTGTTAATGGTACTGACTTCCCAGAGTCTTAGGCAAAGTGAATGAGAAATAATAAATGAGAACCACTCATTGTCTGGCACATGGTACTCAAAACAATGTGGCGATTGATATTATTGACTGCAAAATATCTGATCCAGTGTGTGCAGTGTGGACTTACTTCGATCTGATTGCCCATTCCTCCAGGAAGCCTTCTCAGAAGCCCCCAGACCAGGTTAGGTCTTGAACAACATGCTCCTGCCCGATGCTCCTAAGAGGCTTCTTGAGAACGGTACCTACAGGTCACTCTGCCCTCTGGCATAGTCACAACCAGTGAAAATAATGATGTGTCACGAGCCATGCTGATTAACATGCTCTGATTGTGACCACGGCTGTGTGGAAGGAAGCCCCAGGACCACAGGAGGGGATGTTAAAATATTACATTAATCATCCCTGTAATTAATGTCCAAAGTCCTCCTTCCTCCCTGGAATGCAGCGTCAGGAAATGTGCCTGCTCATCTAATGGTGTTTCTCCATGCTTAGCAGGCTCTTAGTAAATATTAAATAACTGAAAGAATAAGAGGACCATTGACCCCAATTCAGTTTTATCAGGAATTCAATCATTCCTTCCTTCAACAAATACTTCTTGAACGTCTGCTGTGTGCCAGGCACTATTCCAGGCTCGTGGGGTATACCACCGAACAAAACAGGCAAAGATGCTTGCTCTCGTGGGGTTTATGTTTGCCTGGGCATTGATACATATCCCAGAGGGATATCTTGATACATGCTCATCACTCTTGGAACCGTCTTCTATTTTTAAATTTTTTCTTTTAAAAAGTAGAAGGATAGTTAACTTACCATGTTGTGTTAGTTTCAGGTGTAGAGCAGAGTGATTCAGTTTATGTTATCTATACTCCTGTGTAGATTCTTTTTCCATTAGAGGTTATTATTAATACAGGATACTGAATATAGTTCCCTGTGCTGTATAGTAGATCCTTGTTGTTTTCTTGTTCTTTAGATGCTAACTTGTGTCTGAGTTTTTTGCGACCCCATGGACTATACCTGCCAGGCTCCTTTGTCCAAGGGATTTCCCAGGCAAGAATACTGGAGTGGGCTGTCATTTCCAGGAGATATTCCTGACCCAGTAATCGAACTGGAGTCTCCTGCTTGACAGGCAAATTCTTTCCCACAGAGCCACCGGGGAAGCCCCCTTTTGTTTATCGATTTTATATATAGTAGTGTGTCTCTGTTAATCCCAAGCTCCTAATTTATCCCACCACCCCCGCTTTCCACTCTGGTAACCATAAATTTGTTTTCTCTGCCGGTGAGTCTGTCTCTGTCTTGGAACCACCCTCTTTACGATTGGGTTCCGCCATTCAAGGTTGAAGGTCCGTGGGAAACTTCATGTATCTTACCAGCGTCCACTGAGGGGGTGTGGAAGAAGCTTGGAAGGGATCTGAGTGATCCTCAGCCACCCCGGCTTCACCGGGGGCCCTTCAACTACACTGACGTGCCCGCTGTCTTGCAGGTCATGCTCTCAGAGCGAAAAGGCACAGATGAACTGTACGCCGTGAAGATCCTGAAAAAGGACGTGGTCATCCAAGATGATGACGTGGAGTGCACGATGGTGGAGAAGCGGGTGCTGGCCCTGCCCGGGAAGCCGCCCTTCCTGACCCAGCTGCATTCCTGCTTCCAGACCATGGTAACTACCTGGGGGCCGGGCCCCTCCACCTCCGGGCTTCCAGGCTTTGGCCAGAGTGGTTCTAGCAGTGGCCACCCCAAAGAGGCACCCAGGCCCTTCCCATCCTGGAGACAGAAAGCTGTCAGGCCCAGGGACGGCCGCAGAGGATTTTTCTGAGGTTGCCACTGAGAAACGCTCTCCCCTGAGGCAGATGCCGTTTCAACAAAGATGAAGGAACTCAGGCAATTGGTTTTATAACCAACTGAGCAGGGCCGTCCTCTGGCAGCAAGAGGTGACCTGGGGACAGGAACTCAGGACTTTCAGTCCCACAGTCTGAGATGTTCTAGCAGCAGTTACAGATGGGGATGAGGGCAGAGGTCCTCACGGGTTCCCCTACAGGGTCACAGTCAGGCCTCCAGACCCTTCAGATAAATGCGTGGTTCCACGCTGCAGGTTGCATGGCCCTCATAGGACTCCCAGGGCAGGGGGCGCAGCCTGGGCAGGGGCTGGTGAGCTCAGAGCCAGGCTTCTAAGAAGAAGAGGGAATCTGTGTACTATCTGCTATTCACTTTCATCTGTGAGCATGAGACATCCTTCGAACAACCTCTTACCTTCCCCTGTGCACACTAGACCTGGGTCTCCATCCCTAAGGGAGTGCTTGTGGCGATCAGACTACAATCTGGGGACCCTTTCACCTCACCAGGATCTGCTATCACAGCCCCCATACCATTGACTGGTAACTCTCCCCCTGTCTGTCTCCTTTGCTTTAAGAGCACGACCTTCTCAGAAATAGGACCTAGCTTTCTCAGCCATCTGCCTCATCTGTGAGCCTTTCCCAGGTACCAGACACTGTGTGTGTGGAGCGGGTGGGAGTAGGGGAAGGAAGGCAGGGCAGAGCCCAAACGCAAAGAGATACAGAGTTAATTCTTGCTTTGGAAGCTTCTCAGGGCCAAAGGCCTCAGAGTCTTAAAGACTTTTTAAGGGCGTGTTCAAGATTATTTTGACTTGCTCCAGCTTGCACCCTCCGTTCTGATTTTAGAACCCAACTCCTGTGCGTGATGGGATGCCATTGCAAGCTGTGTGTGCTTTAAAGTTTCTTTTCTTCTCCAGCATCCCCAAGTCCTCTGCCCCGCTAAGTTTGTTTGAGTCCCCCGCCGGCCTAGAAAGACCCGGAACTGGGTTTGGGGTGGGTTTTCTCAGTGCTGGCTGTACCCTAGGGGTAAAACTCCCTGTGGTGAGAGGGGCAGAGTCAGAACCCGGCTCCTTCCTTGTGAGAGTTTCTTGATACCTGTTGGGCTCAGAGGGACCTGGGTTCACATCTCAGCGTTGTCATTTTCTGGCTGAGTGGCCTTGAGAAAATTATGTAACCCCCCCCGGGTCTCAGTCTCTCCATATGTAAAAGGGATAATAGTAGCTGCATCCAAGGTTGCTATGTGGAGGAAATGAGATTACACGTGAGAAGTGCTTAACGCAGTGCTTGTTACCTGGTAAATACTCCAGTGCTCTGCTCAATCGCTCAGTCGTGTCCGACTCTTTTGCGACCCCATGGACTATAGCCAGCCAGGTTCCTCTGTCCATGGGATTTCCCAGGCAAGTATATTAGAGTGGGTCGCCACCTCCTACTCCAGGGGAATCCTCCTGACCCAGGGATCGAACCACGTCTCCTGCATTGGCAGGCAGTTGCTTTACTTTTGCACCTCCTGGGAAGCCACCAAACACTCATAAATGCTGGTTATCCACTTCACAGACGTTTAACATTGGCCTTGGCCTGGACTGGTACTGAGGTATAGAGCTGAGGAAGCTCAGTCCTCTTTTTGAGAAGCTAGGTCCTGTTTTCTCCTCTGAAAGCAAAGGCGACAGACATGGGGATATTACCGAACAATGTAATGGTGCTGTGATAGCTAAGGGGTCCCTAGGTTGGTCCCTGATGCCACAGGGGCATCTGCGTTTTGGGTGAAGGGATGGTTTTCCTGCTGGGGGCCTATCCCCAAATCCCAATCTCCCTGCCACAAGTCATCAAGAGAGGGAACATTCTTGGCAAATGTGTGCAGTATTTCTTTTGGGGATTTTGACCCACAAGCCTCTTTTCGGGGGCTGCTGGTGACAACGGGCTATAAGAAGATTTTCACTCCACTGCAGGCAAGACTAAGAGCTGAAGTCATGTTTACCAAAGTGTGAAGCATATACCACCATGCAGTATGATGCTGGGCAGTTTGAAGGGTGACTTTGGGTGCTGCACGAATTTTAAATTGTGTTCTTTTTAGTTCGCTGTACATTCTTCTGAGTACCTCGTGGAGAATGTTTCTGTTTGGCACTAGTGTGGCCATTAACATCTTTCTAATACTTGCCTTTTTCACAGAGGGAGAGGACCAGGAGTCAGGTTCTGAGCTTTGACAAATAGTAGTTTCTTTTTACTTACCTATTTTTAATTGAGGGATAATTGCTTCACAATATTGTGTTTGTTTCTGCCATACATCAACATGAAACAGTCATAAGTATACAGTTTCTTTTAAAATATTTATTTAGGCTGTGCTGGGTCTTTATTGCGGAATGCAGGATCTTTACTTGCAGCATGGAACTCTTAGTTATGGCATATGGGATCTAGTTCGCTGACCAGGGATCGAACCCAGACTCCCTGCTTTGGGAGGATGGAGTCTTAGCCACTGGACCACAGGAAAGTCCCTAAATAGCAGTTTCTAAGTCATTGTTTTGCTTTCATTTTATGTATTTTTTACAGATTTCATTCATTTAAGATAGCACTATAAAGTCTTTTAATTTTTAAGTTTTAAGATATTATAAGACAAATATAAAGAAACCTCACACAATTAGTGTTTTAATAATGAGTTTTTACAGAGTTAAGCTCCTTATACCACCGTCCAGGTCAAGAAAGAACTTTGGCAGCCACTCTAAAAGTTTCTCTGTGTCCTAATCTCCCATCTCCCCACAAATGGTAACTTGACTTCCTTGCCTGTCTCTCTAGTTTTATTTATCACTTAAGTTTTATCATCCCTTGATAAGATAGTTTACTCTTTCCCATTTGTAGAAATTTGATGTGTCTTTAATATAATGATTTCCTTCTCCATTCCTTCCATCCTTTCTTTTACCTGCTAAAGAGCCTGGGTTGTCTGACCCACAGCATTTTCACAGTCCGAATTTTACTGATTGCTGTCTGGGAGCTGCTGTATCTGTTTCCTCTGTCCCCTGTTTTTTTGAAAATTGGAATCTGGACCTAGAGGCTTGGCCAGACTCAAGTTTGATCCCTTGGGTAAGACCATAGGTGGCTGGTTTTTTTTTTTTTTTAATCCAAAGGCACATAATGTCCAGTTGCCTCTCTTTTTGTATGTTGGCAACCAGAGATGCTCTGTGTCTGGGTCCATGAATTCATAAAGGACTGTGAGGTGGTGATTTCCTAATTCTGTCGTTTCTTTTTCTTTATTAGTTGGATATTTTTATAAAGAGAGACTTCCCTCACCTGTTTTTTTGTCCCCTGGTGATATAGTTCATCTAGAAATCAGGATAGATAAATGAGACTTTTCTGTTACTTGACAGTTTTCATGAATTGGTTCACTGTTATGCCCCAAAGGTGACTGAAGTTTGCTTTTAAAATAAAATTTTTGAGTAAAACAATAGAGTCTTTGTAAAGAAAAATGTTAAGTGAGCAACAATTCACATCACGTGAGACTTGGCAGAGATGAAGAAAGGCATGCATCTTACAAGTCCAAATCTCTAATGTTACCTTGGGGAGTTAAAGCCTGGAGGTATTCAAGTCACTACTAGACCCGTAGACCTCTAGATTCCCTCATTCCCACGTCTTCTCTGTTTTCCATTGGCAGTTCCTAAATTGACTCGTGGAGATCACCAGGTGAAGGGCAGTTTCAGTGGTAAATAGAAGGAGATCTTGTTCTCAAGGAAGAGGCTGGGCTATCTTGGAGGAGCAGTTTTCAATTTCAGTTGGATGTGTTAAGATTGGGGGAAATTGATCATTGATGACTAATACTCATTAAATAAAGTATCTTCATTTGTAATTTACCATTTTAAACATGATAGAGTGGATTTGAAGCTCTTCTTTTAATGCTGAGTCTTGAATTTCAGTATGCTTTCTGGAACTGGGGAGTAGGGTCTGGACGTGCATGGAAACGGTGCAACATCCTGGGTCCCCTCCATGAGCCAACACCCGCCAGGGAAGAGAGGTTAACAGCCAAGAGAATGGAATGGATTCGAGTCCTGTGTGGGGAGAAAGGCCTGCTCTTAAAGACTGTCCCCATTCAGCAAGGCTGGGGATGGAACTGGTTGCTTTCTGGTTGGTGAGGATCAGATGAAATCGTTATCCCATCTGTATTGTTTGCGGGGAAAAAAATGTAACTTCTCACATGCCTTGTGGGGTGGCCAAAATTTAAAAAAAAAAAAAAAAAAACCTGTAACTTTAAATAGCAGAGTTATGCCTGGCTCAGGGAGACGCCTTCCTGCCAGTTGAGCATGAGGCCCTTGGGGGCTGAGCAGGGTCAGCTGAGAGGAGAGCCAAGACTCCTCCTATCTCACATCCAATACCACATCACTCAACAGATGCTTGTTGAGTGAAAGGCCCCCACTGAAATGCTTTTGTTTACTTTTTCCTTTGGCTAAGCACTTGTATTTTAAGTTTGCATCAACTTGTTTCAGAGATTTAATAAGGCAATAGGGCTTCCCCGGTGGCTCAGTGGTTAAAAAAAAAAATCTGCCTGCCAAGCAGGAGACCTGGGTTCTATCCTTGGGCCGGGAAGATCCCCTGGAGAAGGAAATGGCAACCCACTCCAGTATTCTTGCTTGGGAAATTCCATGGACAGAGGAGCTTGGTAGGCTATAGTCTATGGGGTCGCAGAAATGTTGTACATGACCTAGAGACTAAACAACAAGAATAATTTTTACAATACATGAATCACAGGTCCAGTCATGTTAAGTCACATGGATGATGGTCCCTGAATGGGTCCCAGCATCACCCCCATTTCATAGACGAGGGCACTGAAGCCATACATATAGCTCGT